CTAAGATCTCCAATCTTGAGACGAGTTGTTGACAACTTTTGACAAAAGTGAACTATATTTTAAAACTTCCTAGAAAAAGATCTTATAAGCTTATACTTAAAAGATTCTTTAAAACTGTCTTTTATAAGAAATAGAAATATTAAATTTACTAAATAAGATTAGACTTTAATAACTCTATTAGGCTGTCATTTGGTTCGGTTCGGACCGAACCAAACCCAAACTGAAACCCGAATGGTCCGGTTCTGGTCCTATATACAGTGAACTGAAGTAGTTTGATTTACTAAATCTAGGACTATATAGTTTTTTGAGACCTATTTAAGTCTAATTTAATTTAGATTTTTAATTTAATTTTATTTGAATATTTGAATATTAATAGATTACTATTAATAATATTAATAAATTTAGAATTAACTCTTATTATTAATAGTTTTTACTGATTAGATAATTATTTCTAAAGCAGTTTTTTATAAATTAAGTTCTTATTTTTTTAAATTAGAATTTTATTTTGTAATATTTTTATTAGTATTATAATAAATTCTTAATATATAGATTATAATTTAAGAATTATTTAAATAATAATAATATCTTTTTTATTTTTTATTTATATTTTTTAATTATATTATATAACTAATCTATTTATTAAAAATATATATATATATATATTTCTATATTTTTAAAGATAAAATTGTAAGGCTCCTTGACACTGCCAACCTCTAAATGCCAAAAAGTAATACTGAGGTAATTAGGCCTAGGCTGTCATTTGGTTCGGTTCTGGTCCTGAGTTTCTGGACTAAACCCAAAAGTGGGTTGGTTCGGTTTGATCTTTAATATTAGAATTAGAACTGAAAACTGAATAATTCTAGCTCTCTAAATTAAAACTAAATTATATTAAAAAAGAATTACTGATTATAATTAGATCAATGTAAGTCTAATCCAATTTTCATTTAAATAATCAAATTATATCAAAGAATTTTTAACTATAGTTAGATTTTATCTTTAAAAATATATTAAAATCTTTCTAAATTTTAATGAATTTAATAGATAAATAATATAAAAATTAAAATTAATTATTTAAATTATAATTTTTTATCTAATTATTAAAATATACTTAAAAAATAAATAGATAATAATAAATATTATAGAATAAATATAGAAATATATATATATTTTTTTTAATAAATAGATTAGCTATATAATATAATCTAAAAATATAAATAAAAAATAGAAAAGATATTATCACTATCTAAATAATTCTTAAATTATAATCTAAATATTAAGAATTTATTATAATATTTATAAAAATATCTAAAATAAAGTCCTAATTCAAAAAATAAAAATTTAATTTATAAAAAGGTGTTTTGAAAATAATTATATAATTAATAATAATTATAAAGAATTAAGGTTAATCCTAAATATTTTAGTATTATTAATGGAAATCTATTAGTATTTAGATATTTAGATAAAACTGAATTAAAAATCTAAACTGAATTAGATCTAAATAGGCCTTAAAAAACTATATGATTCTAGACTTGATAAATCGAACCACATCAGTTCACTATATATAGGACCAGAACTGGACCATTCAGGTTTCAGATCGGTTTTGGTTCGGTTCGAACCGAACCAAATGACAGCCTAATTAGGCCATTGCCTAATTCCAGGGTTGGCACACCTATAAGCCTCTATGAGCCTATAATGCGTCTCACCACTGCTAGGCCTCACACTCTACCCTCCCTAAAAGGCTCTTCTCTTAAGAGGCGCCTCTCTCTAGGAACACTGCTTTATATGTTTCCTTAGAACTGTCTTTTATAGAGGGCAAAAGTGCTAGACTTATTGAGCAAGATTAAGCTTTAACAACCCTATCGCGTAGTTTCACACTTGTGAGAATCGAATTAGGGGCCTCTAACGTCCTTAATAGCTTAATTACACTGTAAGGCTCCTTAATACTGCCAACCTCTAAATGCCAAAAAGTAATACTAAAGTAATTGGGCCATTGTTTAATTCCAGGGTTGGCACACTTATAAGCCTCTGTGAGCCTGCAGTACGTCTCACCGCTGCCAGGCCTCACAAAAATTTAACTATAATTAAAAATTCTTTTATATAATTTAATTATCTAAATAAAAACTAGATTAAACTTAAACTAATCTAATTATAATTAATAATTCTTTTTTAATATAATTCAATTTTAATTTAGAGAGCTAGAATTATTCAATTTTTGATTCTATTTCCAATATTAGAGATTAAACTGAACTGACCCACTTTTGGGTTTGGTTCAGAAACTCAGGACCAGAACCAAACCAAATGACAGCCTAAACTCTATTATGTAATCCTATATCTATAGAAATTGAATTAAGAGTCTTTAATATTCCTTAATAGTCTAATTATATTATAAGGCTCCTTAACACTGTTAATCTCTAAATATCAAAAAGTAATACTAAGGTAATTAGGTCATTGCCTAATCCCAGGATTAGCATACTTATAAGCCTCTATAAGCATGTAGCGCTCTCGCTGCTGCCAGGCCTCACGATATCTAGTTTATTTTAATATAATTCTTTAATATAAGTTATTATAATTATTATTATTAGTTATATTATAAAGGTTAGTAAGATAATCTTATTTAAAATATTATAGTATTTTGTAATATTATTTTTATTTAATCTTTTAGTAATTTTTATATATTGTTATTAGTTATCCTTGTTACGGTGCCAGCTCGCCTGTCCAACCTGCCGCCCTACTCCCCTGGTCTAACTAAATGTAACCATAGTTGCATTTTAGTGCGACTCCAATAAAAGCTATCTAGCTATAAGAATCTTATTGTAGCTCTTTGAGCTACGTCTTATCCTTAATTCTGCACCCAGCCCTGTCTGTCTGCCCGTCCGCCTGGTCCGACCAGTCAATGGTCAATCCTCGATCCCATCCGCCTGCCGCACCCTGACAATCCTTAAGAAACCTCTGTGTGGTTCAATCCATCATATCGCTTCTTGATACAGCCAGTGACAACTAGAGTGGGTCCTGGTGCATGACATGGAACCAGAACTGAACCATTTAAAAACTTGACTTATATCTTAAATAATAAAGTAACTAAGCCTAATTAGGAAATTATAAAAATAGAAAACTAAAATTTAATTAATAAATTACTATATTAAATAATAATAATCTAGAAATATTATATAATTATAGAGCAATATTAATTTAAAAACATCGCATATCAGAACCATTTCAGAACCAAAGAACCGAAAATGACAGCCTAATTTTACTCTGTCCTTAGCTTCGCATATGTTGATTTCGTAACACCTACACCTCAGCACGTGACCAAATGAAGCGGGTGCTTCTAGATATAGAAGCATACACTTCTATATAACAAAGCAAGCGATTCTAGATATTGAAGCATAGGCTTCAATATCTCTAGTATATATAGACACTTATTTACCATCATGTACTTAATTGATCGTGTTTTATTTTCATCTCAGAATAGCATACTACTATTCAGTATTCAAACTACTTACTCTTTTACTATTATTATCTTCACGATAAATAGCCCTTGATCGTATATTGCCTACAGCCCTCCTTCTACTTTATTAGCAGAATATCCTGAGTGACTCTCGATCTCAGACGAATCGTTGAGTACGGTTTGACAATAATATAATTTAAATATTAAATATTTATTATAATATGTATTTTTTTTTATTTTTTTTATTTTTAACCCTAATAACCCTAAAGTTTTAATTTTAAAAATAAAAATTTAACTTATAAAAAATTGCTTTAGAAATAATTAATTATATAGATATAAAATTATAAAAGATTAAGATTAATCTTAAGTTTATTAATATTTAAATATTTAGATAGAATTAAACTAAAAATCTAAATTAAATTAGATCTAAATAGATTTTAAAAAAACCATATAGTTCTAAATTTAGTAAATTAAATTATTTCAGTTCACTATATTAGAACCAGAACTAAACCATTGGATTTCAGTTTGGGTTTGGTTCAGACTGAACCAAACCAAATGACAGCCTATATCCGCCTAGAAAATCAAAAATCAACCTTTTAAAATATAACAAACACTATTTAACAGTATCTAAGGCTTTCTTATAGTTCCTAAATCTCTCTAAATCAATAATACCTTCTTATATATAATTAAAATATTTTTCTTATTATCTTTAAATCTTTATATTTAGCATATTTATAGTTGTATCTCTATAAAAATTATGATTTAAGCTTTAGATTATATCAAACTAGACTATATATCTAATTATTTTTAATCTATTGATTTCAATATTGAGATAGAAGATAGTTAGCTATTTCTTATATAAGAGATGATTGGGGAGATAATCCTTATTTATCTAGATCTAAGATCTCTTTAATAAGCGATTCCTCTTTATATTTAGTTAATTTATGATTATTAGCGCGTGTTTAAGATCTTTATTGGGTGCCCTTAGTCGATCTCGTAGAGTTGTTCGAGGAACATTGTAGATCTTTGCAGCTCATCCAATATTTGGAATTTTTCCATTTTTTAATCGAAAATCGCTAATAAGGTTCGGCCTTGTTGTTCTTAAGAATTCTTATGGTTTTTATCGCGAATTGGCGGCATATTGGCGCGTTGAATTATAGGGAATTGTTAGAAGACGCATTTTCAGCGGAAGTGGCAGTTCGCTTGTGGTAGTAGCTCGCATGTGGATTGTATTACCAGATCTGACATTTTTCCAGCAATCACATGCCACTAGAAAAATGTCAGACTTTATATATACTAATGAGATTACTCAACAAACAAATTAAGCTCCAGTATAAATCTGATTGAACTTTTTCAAAAACAAGCTTACTATCTAAATAACTTATCTATTAAGACTTATTTATATGGCAAATCCGCACTAATTTGTTCTCAGGGGTAATTAGTTAGTATCTGATCGTTTGGTCGGTTTTGGCATAGTGTTGAGGCGATGCCTAAATGATCTTAGCATTAAAAATTCCGACAGACGATATCCGCAGCGGATACGAATATCGCCGGTATCTCTGGCGATATCATTCGCCATGATCTGGACAGGCGGATACAAAGATCGAATATACCCAGATTAAGTCGATATCTGTATTTGCACTAGCCCTAACCTGGGAACATGCACCTTCGCACAGCATGCGACCCATGTTCCAAGGCCAAAGTCCGGTGCGACAAGACACACCCATCATGTGGCCGATGCCTACAGATGAAATTGCATTGTTGTTATAGCGCGTCACGTAAACACGGAGAGCAATTGTGGCGAAAGAGAATTTCCCAGAAGCGGCATAAGACTGCCGGGCGTGTAGCTTTACCTTTAGCAACGATAGAAGCTACCACTACATCGACAGCAACGGTTCCGCCCGTCCAAGGAGTGACATGGGATGAATCCTTGTTGACCTTGACGCCAACACAGCTGACGGGGAACCAAGATTGGAATTCTCCATTGGAAAATTATGGGCAACAGGAGCCCACAGCTCTTCTGCCCTCGTGGTTGGCTGGCGATGGACTGGGCACTGATATGGACATTGGTAACTGTGCAAACTGGGATATGACCAATTTAGCACCAACTGCTTCTCCGCAAAACAACAACCTATCCACACAGGGACCAAGCCGTGGCGATGCTACATCAGAAGAATCGAGATCCGCAGGAACTCAAAATATCATATCATCGGCCACGACAAATAGCACGCACGACTGTGAAGCTCGCGCCATCTCTATTCTAAGCTCACTGCAGCACGGAGAATTGTGTGAAGGACTGACAACGTGCTCGACTGACCCGACACGTGTATTTGCGGACCTAGACTTCACACCAGGATTTGACCGCGTGCTTGCTGTCAATAAAGCAGCTCTCAGTGACTGGGCCTCGCTCATGAAGTGTTCTTGCGCGCAATGTCCTCATCTTACGCTTCTCTATATGTCAATATTGTGCAAGATACTCTTTTGGTACCGTATAGCCGCGATGGAGAAGGTTCCGTCTGCGTTAGCAGATGTAAAAGAGTCCCATAGTACCCCAAGCAGCGGCGACAATACGATGGAACATTCTTCTGGTGAAAGGTCGATGTTTGAAAAATTCGGTGTTGAACCGACGACGGTACAGGTTGGGGTATTGAACCTGGACCCTGAAGACCAGGCTAGCTTGCGGCGTGTTCTCTTACTTCGTGACTTACGTAGGACAGAAAAGGCAATTCACGAGCTCATGGAAGTGGATCGCAAGGTTATAGAGGAGAAAGCAGATGAGAGCGTACGAGGAATTGTGAAAGTATCCCTTGCTGGTATCCCGCAAATTTCAAAGCAGCTACAGGATGTGATACAAGTTGTCAAGGAAATTCAATAACGCTAGTGCTCAAATGGCTTGTATATTTATACTGCAGAAAATCAAGCTCTTCTCAAGGACATACATTAAATGTACCAAATCGTATGGTCACTATCGACACCATTCTTCAATATAGAACAATGATTTCGCTTGTACCTCCCGCGGCTTTCCACCTTTCGAATGCTCTCTTAACATTGTGCGCTGCCTGTACCGCATAATCTGGCGGGAGTGGAGCTGGAGCTCGAACATCTGGATCCCCGACTATCCACGCCACGGGAGAACTGCTTATTCCACGATGTTCCTTGTTGAGCTCCACAATTTCGGTATGCAGATACCCTCGGCCAAATACGATGGCTTGCGGTGGCTTGCTGTAGTCATTGGTACCGACGTTGTTAGTATTTGGTATCTTAGGCGCCTGACCAGTGAGAAGGTCCGCCAATTCAGCCTTTGCAGCCTCGGTTGATGTGATGAAATGAATAACTGTAGCCATGGTTAATAGGGGCTATAGGAAATAAATTTAAAAGGCGTGGTGCGTACCTTCAAATTCAGGTTTTAGCAGATGCGTGACATGCGCGCCAATATTTACCGTCTTGCCGCATAGGATGATAGGGATCCGATGTGCCATTTTGACAGGCTTGCTTACAAAACTTTTGCTCTTGTTCGTCCGATCTAAAACAGTTAAAGTGAAAAGGGGAACAAGGACTATGATTGAATAGACAGTGGGATCTCTTCATTTATTAAAATCGATGCCAGGCTGGCATTATAAGGCCCCGGTTTTATCGGCCATACACCGGGCCAATCACGGCGAATCTCCGCCTTATACCTATCCCGAGGCTGTCCCCGAAACTTGTAGACCTCATTTTTTCCCCCGGGATCAATCAACCTGCAACATGTATCCCCCAACAAAGGCAGCTTCTCTTTCTCGGGAACCAGCAACATGTTAGGGTTTGGCAGGACGATTTCGGCAAGAGATATCAGATTAGGCTGTCATTTGGTTCGGTTCGAACCGAACCAAAACCGAACTGAAACCTGAATGGTCTGGTTCTGGTCCTATATCCAGTGAACTGAAGTGGTTTAGTTTATTAAGCCCAGAATTATATGATTTTTTAAGGCTCATTTAGATCTAATTCAGTTTAGATTTTTAATTCAATTTTTATCTAAATATCTAAATATTAATAGATTTCCAGTAATAATATTAATATATTTAAAGTTAATTCTAATTCTTTATAATTATTTCTAAAGCAACTTTTTATAAATTAAATTCTTATTTATTTTATATATTTATTATTATTTATTTCTTTTTTAATATATCTTAATAATTAGATAGAAAATTATAATTTAAATAATTAATTCTAATTTTTATATTATTTATCTAGGCTGTCATTTGGTTCGGTTCTGGTCCTGAGTTTCTAAACCAAACCCAAAAGTGGATTAGTTCGGTTTGGTCCCTAATATTGGAACTAGAACTAAAAAATGAATAATTCTAACTCTTTAAACTGAAATCAAATTATGCTAAAGAAGAATTACTAATTATAATTAGATTAATTCAAATCTAGTCTGATTTTTATTCAGATAACTAAACTATATCAAAGAATTTTTAATTATAATTAGATTTTATTCTTAAAAATATATTAAAATCTCTCTAAATTTTAGTAAATTAGATAGATAAATAATATAAAAATTAGAATTAATTATTTAAATTATAATTTTCTATCTGATTATTGAAATATACTAAAAAAATAAATAGATAATAATAAATATTATAAAATAGATATAGAAATATATATATATATTTTCTCTAATAAATAGATTGATTATTAGCTATAGCTATATAATATAATCTAAAAATATAAATAAAAAATAGAAAAGATATTATCACTATCTAAATAATTCTTAAATTATAATCTAAATATTAAGAATTTATTATAATATTTATAAAAATATCTAAAATAAAATCCTAATTTAAAAAATATAAATTTAATTTATAAAAAGCTGCTTTAAAAATGATTATATAATTAATAATAATTATAAAAGATTAATATTAACTCTAAATATATTAATATTATTAATAGAAATCTATTAGTATTCAAATATTCAGATAAAACTGAACTAAAAATCTAAATTGAATCAGATCTAAATAGGTCTCAAAAAACTATATGATCTTAGACTTAATAAACTGAACCGCTTCGGTTCACTGTATATAGAACCAGAACTAGACCATTCAGGTTTTAGATCGATTTTGGTTCGGTTCGAACCGAACCAAATGACAGCCTCTATTTATCTATCTAATTTATTAAAATTTAAAAAGATTTTAATATATTTTTAAGAATAAAATTTAATTATAATTAAAAATTCTTTTATATAATTTAATTATTTAAATGAAAACTAGATTAGACCTAGATTGATTTAATTATAAATTAGTAATTCTTTTTTAATATAATTTAGTTTTAATTTAGAAAGCTAGAACTATTTAATTTTTAATTCTAATTCTAATATTAAAAGACTAAATCGAACTGACCCACTTTTGGGTTTGGTCCAGAAACTCAGGATCAGAACTGAACCAAATGACAGCCTAAGTGATTATAATAGATATAAAAAATATAGAGATATATATATATAAAGATAATATCATTATTGTAATAATATTAATCTTATTTAGATATTAAATAACTGTTATACCTATTTAATATCAATAATTAATATCTTCTAACTATATAAGACTTTATTAATTTATTAAATATATTTTAAAGTTGAAAAGTTGATTAAATTTAGTGGGGTGTTTCAAATACCCATGTGTTCCAAATGCCCGTGGAATACGTTAAGCCAACTCTCTCCTGTAAAAATTCTTCACCGCCGGGTCCTGTTAACCGACGTTTCCCCGCACCTAAGAATTTTGGCGAACACGGTAGTTTTGCGCTAACTTCAGGAATTTGGGAGAGTTGACCTCATGTTGCGAACCACGAAGGCAAACAGTATCAACGATCAAGGGAGTGCAAGGCCTTTGATTATTGATATTACTATAAAATCAATGTGTCTTTCGGAACCGGGGACGCACTGATTTCTATATGGCTAGTTGTGAGGGGCTTTTTCACCTTAAAAGTAAGCTTTTCGGAGCCTCTGATTCTTTCCAAAGGTTTTTTCCCAACCACTGCCTCTTGTTATTTCTGCTTCTTGGTTACTGGAGGGCAGGCTAGGTTAAAAATGAGAGGTAAGAGAATTCTGACTAGGGAAAACCATACAAGCAAGCTATTTCTATAGCACAGCAGCTATCCGCTGACGGAAGCTGTTCCTACGACTTTTCTGTTGATCAGTATAGTGCACTCTAGATGGGTCAACGCGCAGCTGCCACTTCCACGAGACTGATTCTATGGGAACTCTAGAAGGCGGTCACTGATAAAACCGTGGTTAGGCCACCGAGCTTAGGCCGGCATACTTGACCTTGCTAGAATAGAACCTGTTGTTGACGGTCAACTGGCGCGTCTTTTTGCCTAAACCAGGGCTCCTCCATAGACGTTAAATAAAATCAATCAATCAATCAAATCAAATTGACAAAAGTTACGCGATTTAAAAAATTTGCTCTGAGCCGCTGTTGTTCAATTCAATTCAATTCAATTTACATTGCACGCAGGGGTCTGGTGCCGCTAAATTCGGATTACCCATTTTATTATGCTGCACTAAGCTATTCTAGGTGAGGTACATTCTTTTATGCAATTCTACAAGTTGGCCACTTCTACGGTTACGATTCATTATCTGGGCCTTCCAGTGCGCCAGGGCCCCCCTCCCCTCAATCAATCGATTGCAATTGACGCAAAGGGCTTGCCAAGACGAGCTCCAACTTGACCAGGTTGCTTGTCAGACATCGTTCTTTGTTCTCTCAGGACAAGTTCTGTGCATTTTTCGTTACCAATTTCCGTACAGCTCATCGCAGTGGAAACAACCATTAAGCAAAATGAGTGGCAGTACTGACGAACCATCCTGGAAGCCGGCTGTCGATGCTGTGCGGAAATACTACAATTTCTTAGTCGAGGAACTGGGAGCCATTCCAGCGGACTGTGTGGAATACCCTCCGGAGGAAGGCTGGTCAAACATTTCCGAGGAGTCGCTTGCTGGTCTGGAAAAAACCAAGGAAGTCGTTGACGTTCTACGCCATCTACCGTACATCAAATATAGCAACGGGTTCAATGTTCAGATCGCTTTTGCAACCGAAGCTCTTGACTACAGGGGCGCGGAGGTTGCGGTCGGTGACAAAAACAGATGGATTCCCCATGGAAACCTCGAATTCGCCCCTCATGTTGTTGTCTTGACCGCAGATGACGGCCCAGGATCTTACGGGAGTCAAGTTCTACTAGACACGGAGAAAAGTGAGTGCTGTAGTTCAACTTTTGTTCCTGTCTTGGCTATTATTGGAGATTCTTGCTAACTTTATCTTACTATGTAGACACATTTAGCGACTATCAGCCCGGAGGACCTTCGAAAGCTTCCGAGACTAATGCAGAAACTAACCCCGACGACTTCTGGCACTCTAGAGAGACTCGGCCTGTGGCTGAGTTTTTCAGCCTGTGGGAAGAGCGGTTCCGCACTCTAGAATGGACCGTTGATCCATTCGACGACGAAGAGGGCATGCTGTTACGATACGACAATGCGACGGATGTAAGTTTGGATCCTCCCAAAAGCCTTACGTGTGAGGTGAGATACTAATCCATATATGCTCTTATACAGGAGGTCCGCCAAATTTACCGTGATCACGGATGGCCGGATAATTTTCGTCGTCGTGAATGTCGTGATGCCCTGCAGGAATGGCACAGGACTATTAAGGATCGAATGGCGGAGCCGGGAAATAATCTGCATGAAATCAACCGTCAACCGCCAGGCCCGTATGTGACCACCTAGACCATGTGTAAGTGACGTAAAAATCGTTCTTGTTGCTGACCTCAAAATAAAATTAATCACAATAGTGATATAAGCATTCATGCTTTTCTGACTTAAAAGCAGATTATAATGACTATATATAGTGATGCAATAATAGAATATGTCAAGGAGCCTTACCATGTAGAACCGTACAGGTGGAGAATATAGGCAGCAACGGAAAAATTGACGAATCATACTATCAATGATTCTAGATGTTTCACGCTAAATTCGTCAATTAATCTGATTGGCTGTGGGTAGAGAGCGGATCTCTGACGAGCTACGTATTTATGAAAAAGTTCGCGCGCCAATGGATACAGAGCATATTATTAGCTTTCTATATATAGCATCCAACGCTACCATGTTATAAAACCAACATATGCAAGGCTAAGAACAGATTAGAATAACTTAGACTACCTCAGGACAAGCACCTATTAAAACAGCTAATACCTGTCAAAACGTATACAACGATTCGTCTAAGATCAGAAAAAAAGTCACTCAGGATATTCTGCTAACATGGTAAGAAAGTTTATAAGATTAAAGATTATTTATAATGTTTTTATTATTATATTTTATGTATTATTTGTAATTAAATAACTGAAAAGATTTATAACTAATTGAATTTTTCTATAGAGCCTATAGAATAAGATATTCCTTTAATCTAATTAAAAGTTATTTCCTAGTTAATTAATTTCATTTTTGGATAGTAATATTAATTATCTTTTTAATTATATCAATATATATATAAGTATAAAAAAATTATATAAGATTATTAATAGAAAAAGTATCAATTAGGCTGTCATTTGGTTCGGTTCGGACCGAACCAAAACTGATCTGAAACCCAAATGGTTCGGTTCTGGTCCTATATACAGTGAACCAATGTGGTTCAATTCACTAAGTCTAGGACCATATAGATTTTTAAGACTCATTTAGTTCTGATTTAATTTAGATTTTTAATTTAATTTTATCTAAATATCTGAATTAGGCTGTCATTTGGTTCGGTTCTGGTCCTGAGTTTCTGAACCAAACCTAAAAGTGGGTCGGTTCAGTTTGGTCCCTAATATTGAAACTAGAACTGAAAATTAAATAGTTCTAGCTCTCTAAATTAAAATCGAACCATATTAAAGAAGAATTACTAATTATAATTAAATCAGTCTAAGTCTAATCTAATTTTCATTCAAATAATTAAATTATATTAAAGAATTTTTAACTATAGTTAGATTTTATCTTTAAAAATATATTAAAATCTCTCTAAATTTTAATAAATTAGATAGATAAATAATATAAAAATTAGAATTAATTATTTAAATTATAATTTTCTATCTAATTATTAAAATATACTAAAAAAATAGATAGATAATAGTGAATATTATAAAATAAATATAGAAATATATATATATATTTTCTTCTATATAATATAATCTAAAAAATATAAATAAAAAGTAGAAAAGATATTATTATCATCTAGATAATTTTTATATTATAATTTAAATATTAAGAATTTATTATAATATTTATAAAAATATTCAAAATAAAGTTCTAATTTAAAAAATAAGAATTCAATTTATGAAAAGCTGCTTCAGAAATAATTATATAATCAATAATAATTATAAAGAATTAGGATTAACTCTAAATATATTAGTATTATTAATAGAAATCTACTAATATTTAGATATTCAGATAAAACTGAATTGAAAATCCAAATCAAACCAGATCTAAATAGATCTCAAAAAACCATATAGTCCTGGACTTAGTGAATTAAACCACATTGTCACAAGAATCGATAAACCACAACCAATGAATGTTATGGCGGACGCTATTACATAAGCATCCAATGAGGTTGGAATGGCAGTAATTGTGATTGTTATATAGTATAATTAGGTATTGTGAAAGTAAGGCTGAAAGTGGCTACACTTTCTCTCTAGCCATGGCCATTGATGTAGTAATATGAGTATTGTGTAATGAAGCCTTATTTCAGTATATACTAAACACATGATCTATCAAAGCTAGGGTATGATATGGTCATACTTTTTAATATGATATTTTATATTAAAGGCTCTAAAGAGGCATATTTATAGATATATTCTAATTAATATATATAGATACTTGTTTATTATTATATATTTAGTTGATTATATTTTATATTTATATTTAAATAGTATATTATTATTAATATTTTAATAACTTATTTTATTATTTTTATTTTATGATAAAATAGCTTTATTAATATTATTTATAATCTCTTCACTATATTAATAGAATATTCTGAGTGACTCTTTCTAATCTTAGATAAATTATTGTAATATATTTTGATAATAAAACACTCTTATAATGAAGGTTTAGAAGTTATTAGATAAGTAATACTATCTAGTATTAATAATAGCTGAATTATCAATAAATAAATTAATAATAAGTATTTATGATATTATAATATCTATATAAGAATATATTAATTAATTAAAAGCTTAGCTTCTTATAAGTGCTAAACTAAAGTTATTAAAGATATTAATATTTATAACTTAAAATAAGAACTATTCAGAAATTAAAAACTTCCTTATATATATAGATATATAGATAAAAATTAATAAGATTAGAAATGATATTAATAAGATTATTTATATCTTAAACTGTCTCTATAATAAAGTATTAAAGTGAATACAATTAATTCTTAATGATTATTATAATGAATAAAAAGCAGACTAAGATATAGTTATAAAAGAAATTTTTTGAAACTATATTAGCTTTAAGAAATAATTTAATCTAATATTTAAAGATTATAATAAAGTATAAATTATAGAATGATAGTTATAATAAATAAGATAAATTAAATCTATATAACAGTTAGCTACTTAATTCAAGTAAATCATTATAATTTTAAAATATAGCAATGATATATAAATTATAATATTTAAAAATATATTAAAAATTAAACTATAGATTGAATTTATTAAACTAGATTGATCAATAAACATTAATAAGTATATTAAAATGATAATTAAAATTAATAACAAATTTTATAAGATTAGATAATATTAAAGAGAGATTTAATATTAGTGATAATATAGAGGATTGATAATTTATAAATAATTATATAGTTAATAGTTAAAATAATCTCAATATGATTGAGATAATGATATTAGGATGTAGATGAATGCTATTATTAATAAAAAAGAATGGGACTGAAGACATAAGGAAAAGGTTTGTTATTAGTATAATTGAAAAAGACACTTTATAAAAGATTATTGATAAGGATAAAAACTTAATAATATTAACTATTATAAAGCAGTAGCTTTTAATTTATAACTTTCTATTCTATATCAGGAAACTATTGTAGTAGATAATAATGAAGAAAAAGAAGATCTCAAAAAGGTATAGAGCAGAATTATAGAATAAGGATTTAAACGAAAATATAGACTAGTTATAATGTAATAAGGAAGCTCTAAGAAATTTAATAGATGTATTAGAACGATGCTCAAGGAAGGTATAGCTTAGGAAAAAATTGTTAAACTAGAAAAAATACATAGTTATTAGAAAAGTGAAGAATAGTAAAAGATATTATCAATAGATTAGTATACTGCTGAATAGAATATTAATAATTCTTTATTAGAAAGTGAAATCCAACATAATCTAATATTTTAAGATAATAAATAGAAGGTAATTTATAAGGATTTAGATTAAGAATTAGATATTTTCTAAAAATTAAAATTAGCAGAATCTATCAATTAATTATTTTAAAAATGGTTTTTACAAAGATTTATTATATATAGAAAAAAAAATAAGAATAATATCTAAGAATAATATAAGAAATTTTAAAAATAAAAAATAAGATTTTAGAAATAATTTTAAAGTTTTTAAAAGTTAACTATAAAATTCTAAAAAGTTAAGATAAATCTATAAAAGATGAATAAAAAGAAGATAAACTATATAGTTATATATCTTTATAAATAATATATTAAGAAGTTATTAATTAAATATAATAAGATTATATTAATAAATATAAAAAGTATTAATAATAGATATTTTATATATGTTTGATGTAGGCTGTCATTTGGTTCAGTTCTGGTCCTGAGTTTCTGGACCAAACCCAAAAGTGGGTCGGTTCGGTTTGGTCTTTAATATTGGAACCAGAACTGAAAACCGAACGGTTCTGGCTCTCCAAACCGAAACCGAACCACGCTAAAAAAGAATTACTAATTATGGTTAGATCGGTGCGAGTCTGATCTGGTTTTCATTTAGATAACCGAACCGTATCAAAGAATTTTTAACTATAGTTAGATTTTATCTTTAAAAATATATTAAAATCTTTCTAAATTTTAGTGAATTTAATAGATAAATAATATAAAAATTAGAATTAATTATTTAAATTATAATTTTCTATCTAATTATTGAAATATACTCAAAAAATAGATAGGTAATGATGAATACCAATTATACCATAGAATGGGTATAGAAATATATATATTTTTTCTCTAATAGAGAGATTGGCCGTATAATATAATCTAAAAAATATAAATAAAAAATAGAAAAGATATTATCGCCATCCGGATAATTCTTAGATTATAATCTAAATATTAAGAATTTATTATAATATTTATAAAAATATCTAAAATAAAATCCTAATTCAAAAAATAAGAATTCAATTCATGAAAAGCTGTTTCGGAAATGATTATATAATCAATAATAATTATAAAGAATTAGGGTTAGCTCTAAATGTTTTAGTATTATTAATGGAAATCCACTAGTATTCAGATATTCAGATAAAACCGAACCGAAAACCTAAACCGAACCAGACCCAAATGGGCCCCAAAAAACCATATGGTCCTGGACTTGGTGAACCGAACCACATCGGTTCACTGTATATAGGACCAGAACCGGACCATTCGGGTTTCAGATCGGTTTTGGTTCGGTTCGAACCGAACCAAATGACAGCCTAGTTTGATGTATAACTATAAAAATCTTATAATTATAGAAGAAATAGAATAATTATCTTATAGTAAAGGAATGTAATTATATAGTGGATAATTTAAATATATATAGAACTATATATATCATTATTATTTAAAGATAAATAGATTTAATCACTTAGAAATATACTGAATATTATATTTTAATGATATATATATCTATTATTGAAAAGATAAAAATATTTATAGATAGTTTTTAAAAATATTAGCTATCTTTTATTAATTAATATTTAAGTGTTTAATTAAAGATAAGGATTGTTAATATCTATATGAAGAAATATGATATCTATTCTATTAATATCTTAAGAAAAAG